AGCGATTGAATTTGTACTGTATAAAATGATAAGTTGTGCACCATCGGTAACGGAGGTAGGTTTTGTGTATTTTGAGCGAAAAGCAATACGATGTTATTCCTCTCCCGCATTCGAAAAATGTGTATTTTGAGCGAAACGGTAAATTGCGCACTATTCTGTCGGTACACCTGGAGTAGCGAGGCAGCAGCAACTTTCGCTGCTGGGTGATGCCGCTGCCTGTCAGTGTGGCTCCGTGGATATCCTCCAGGCACTATACGACGTCCCTGGTACCGTCGAGAGCATGACAACGACGCCGTGGCTAGATTGGAACCATGTTGCGCACGGCTTCCGTGTGCTGAATCGTTACCAGAACCCAAATCGACTATCTCGTTGCAACGGCGACGTCTCCGACTTGAGAAACACATCGCGGGAGCTTTCAAAGGGGGCGTCGACATCAACCAAACTGGCAAGGCTTCGGTCTCGACCAGGGAACGCGTTGCGATGGAAGGGCTCAAAGTCATGGCGTTGACTGGGACGCTCAGCGGGCGGATTGCTGCGACACGGCCGGCGGGACCCAATGCGGCCAGCTTGGTGGCCTGTAAAGTAGGACGACCCGAAGAGTACGAGCGGGGCCTTGAATGCCTGGTTGTCCCACATGGGAGGTGGAATGTTGTCGTGAGGGGGGCGCCGCAGTTGACCGAGGTGGGCGTACGTTCGGGACACAGCCAACGGATCGGCATCGGCGGCGCTAAACCCAGGTGGTGCCGCCACCGGCGATTTGATTGAACGAGGAGGGAACGAGGTGTGGGGCCGACGCGGCATTGCAAATTGGTCATGGCGCAAAGCCGAGTGGGGTGGTAGCTCGTCGTGCCAATGTGTGGCGTTCCCTCGGCCGGGCGACAACAGCGATGGCTCATGCCATCGAAATTGCTGCTCATTGTGGACCTCTTGCATCAACTGGTCGATCTCGTCCAACACGATCGTGTTGTCGCGGCTCGTGCTGTCGACGTGCAGCGGGACGCGATCCAGGTCCGCACTCCACGTCGGGTCGTCGCTGCCACTGCCGTCGTCGACAGCGTCGTCCGCGTCAAGTTTCAAGGCGTCCGTGGCATGGATGCCGTCGTCCGTGTCGTCGGCGCCATTGTCCGTGCCGTCCTCGTCCGAACTTTTCGACTCGGCACTACAATCGCCGTCGACTGCGCCGGTCTCGGTGTCGCTCCCGTTGTCGCCTGCGGTATAGCGAACGCCGTCGTCCGATTCCACAACGCGTTCTTCGCACTTCGTGCTTGTGTCGTTGCCGGCAGCACAGATCTTGGCCACGTCGTTCACCGTGGCGCACGCTGCCGTCACGACGGACGAGGTACCGTTGTCCTCGGCATCGTCTGCGGCTTCGTTGTGGTCTGCCTTTGCTTGGTCCACGAGGTATGTCGCGCATGCGGCATGTGAAGCAGACCCGGGGCCGTGTACCACGCCTTGTGGGAACTCTTGAGCAACGGGGGGCACTTGCCTGGAGGCCCCGCGTGCCGGTGGCAGGTGGGCACTAGCACGAACCGCATGGGCTAACTCAGCAGGGTGGTGCTCGACATGCGTAGTCGTTGCAATAGCTGGCCGCCACGAACTGAGTGCATTTTTGCGCTTCATGGCGGTGCCACGGTCGTGTTGGAGGTCGCAGCCGTCCGCAGTCGTCGACGGGGTCGACGACAAGGTGTTTTGCTCGTGTTCCGCGCCGCGAGTCGTATCTGGCGGGGCCCGATGGGGGGACACAGGCGTCAACTGTGCATCCTCGGCGTTGCAACGCTCCGTTCGAGGGGACGCCGTCGGACCATTCTTGGATGGTGACTCGTCCGGCACTACAGGTGCAGCCACCGTGGCCACGTCGTCTCTTGGAGAGCATGTCCGTGTGGCGTGAGCCGTGCGAACTGCATCTGGCCGCGTCGTCGCAGCCAGCGCCTTCTTCGGCTTGGCTTTCTTCTTGTCGGTGGGTTTCTGGGCCAGGGCGGCTTTGCGTTGGTCATGTACGCGTTGGACGGCAGGGCTGCGAATCGGGGCAAATGTAAAACTCTCAAACACTTGCGCTTCGATCGCTTGGAGCTCGTCGTCCAGCGCGTCGTCGTCGACGTGGTCAGGGAATGCCGGGGCTTCGGTCGCCACGGGCGGGGTGTAGCCAAAGTTGGTGTCGGCAGGACTCGCGTGGCAGTCGAGCCACACAATCTCGACAGTGTAGTGGACAATTTGACTCACGATCAACGCAAAGAGTCCCCACACAATGACGCGACCCCCGGCGTGCAAGTACGACATCCTGGTCGTGCCCAGGCATTCCCGATAAGGCGATGCCACCGCCCCTTCCAGCGGCACCGACACGTTGCCGGACGACGTGTGGAGCACCACTACCTCGACTTCCCGATTGAAGCGACAGCCAGACACAAACGACACGTTCAGCGACAACCTGCTGCCGCCGGGCGCGAGCTCGACGGGAACCGCGTCCGAAGTCGACGAACCGGGAAACTGCACGCAAAAGCCAGCGTCGTGCCCACTGCATTTTCCACAATTTGGACAACTCCAGCCGTGGACAACCAGCGGCATGTTGCCGTCGTTCTCCAACGCAATCACGCGCGGCGGGGCGTGTGAGTCGAGCACAGCATTGTTGACCACGCGCACGTGCCCTCGTCCGCCCTGGCCCCGGACGACAACGGGCTCGATGTGGCTCAACGTATTGCGCAAGTACAACCGGCCAACGTATTCTTTGGCCGCGCTCGGCGCAAACAGAATCGGTCCCAGCGTCGTGGTGTCGCCCGGCGCCAGGGTTTGTTTGTCCATCGATGACAGGAAGAACGCGGGCATCGCCACAGCGCCATCGCCGGACGTCACCGCCGCTTTCCACGTATCTTTGCAAGCCGCCACCACCTTGGTTGGACTCGGGCACGTGTAAAACCCGCCACGCGCTCCGATTTCGTCCGAGTCTTTCGACGCAAGCAGTGCCAGCGCCACGTCAATCGTCACGTTGGATGGGTTCGTGACCGTCAGCCACATCTCGGACACGTTGCCGACATGGGTAAGGGGCATTTCCACCATGCCGGCATGGGTTGTGCTCTCGCCGACGAGGCGCGGGCGGGCCATCGGCATCCGCACGACTACTGGCGCGACCGCAACCAAATCGGTATACATGACAACTTGCATCTCGGCGACGGTGTCGCCTTGGGTTTCCAACTCGGCAAAGCGCTGGAGTCGCTGAAAATGCGCAGCCACGTCCGCTGGGGTCACGGCTTGCCCGAACGAGGACAGCATGCCGTGGGATGGCGGTGTCCAGTCCCGGCTCGCAATCGGGACGGGCAGCAAGCAGTCGGCAAACTTGTCGGGGTTCGCACACCCGAGGGCATACGCGGGCGACACGACCAACTGCGCAACCAGCGTTGTCCCGTTAGGGGACACCGCGCTCGCTTGGCTGAGGACTTGGACTCGCCGATCGGATACGCGAATCGCCGTGATGGGCACGGGAAATGCAAACGTGCTGTCTACATACAACGGCACGACTTCAGCTCGTCCGGGGTACAACGGGCAAGCCGTGCGTAGTTTGCGGCGCGTCGGGACGATGGAGCCGCGCACCGGCGTGTACGTGAGATACACGTCAATCGTTTCCGACGTCGTCGAGATCGTAAACGCGAGGACGTCCGTGGCGGCCGTCGCGGTCGGTGTGATGTGGAGGACCATGGGCAAGGCGTACCCAGGTGGTATCACCGTAGACATGTTGTGCTTGGACCGACACGAACTCGAAGCGTCGGAAGGGTACAGCGGCGTCTGTTGGCGGTCGATGGCACACGCGTCGTCGGCTGCAGCGTCGTCCGAGTCGCCGGCATCATGACGAGTCAAGCATTCCATCCCCGACGGGGCGAAGTGGGGAATCATGGGCTCGAGTGACACCTCCAACGTCGCGAGGTGCGCGACGATGCTGTGCACTGGAATGGCGCGAGGGTTGAAATTCGTCAGGTTGACCAGCACGTGGCGAGACGACGAAATGTTGCCCAAGTCGAGTTGAAATGCACGTCGGGCGCCAGTCGCGGACGGAGCGGCGACCGGCTTGTCGAGGGGCCGGTGGCGGCGGGCGACGCGGGCGTCCGTGGACATGGCATGCCATCGTTTGCTGGTGGTGTGTACCGTCAATCGGTTCGAAGACAAGACAAGGGGGATTACATGCCGAGACACGTTGGTTTGGACAAGGAGGTGCGAGTGGGTGTGGGTCGTGACGGGCCATTGCAATGTCGGCGACGTCGTCGTGCCGTTGCCGTCCACATCCATGATGCAGTCCAAGTAAATGGGTGGCCACGACGTACCGGCCTCCGCGACCGCGTTCCCGGTAAAGTTGTGCAGGGAAAACAACGACGGGTCGGCCAGTTGCACCATCTCGATCGCGACGGCCGTGTCAAAGTAGTTGGTTAAAACGAGACCGCGCCCGGCGCCGCCGCACGACGTGAACTCGACCTCTTGCGGCGCGAACGCGAGCCCACGACCGCTCACCTTGGTTGCCGTGTAATTGAGCCAAATGTCGCCGCCATGGCCGCGTCCGTGCGTCGACGGATCGACGGTCGTGTCGTTCGTGTGAACAATCAGCATGCCGGTGAACGTGCCGGGGTCGATGCTTCCGTACGAAACAACCATGGCATGCTTGACTCGGGACAGCGGGCCGACCGCGTGAGAGCCTTGAATCACGACCGAGATGCGACTGTCCGGCGTTTGTAAACTCACGCCTTTCACGAGCACCGTGGTGCGGCCGGTATTGACAAAGTCCACCGCGATGTGATGTTCCTACTCGAGGAGCGCCGTGAGCGATCCATTCACGAAACCAGGCTGTCAGCAGCACCCGTGCCTGGCGACGCACGGAAGGACACCATCATGTACCTCGTCGTCGTGGACGAGCACGCCAAAGTTCAAATGGGTCGCTCCCAGATGCAGCCCCTCCGACAGCACCGTGAGCTCCACAGGCAGGATCAAATTGCCCTTGTCCATTTCAACGCGCACGTACGCACTGTAATGGCCCGGCACGGACGACACAAACGAGAGCTGCATCACAGGCTTCGTCGCACCCGCTTCGATTTCCCACACGCCGGTGGTCGGACGCGTGTCGTCGGGATGGGTCGACGACGTCGGTGGCGTTTTCGGCAGCTCCAAGTGCAAAAACCCTTCCGTCGTGAAGACCTCCGTCACGCGGAGCGGCTACAGCACGCCCATGTCATGACGTACACAACGTTGTGGCTCGAACCGACGAGAGTTTGTCTCCACGAACCTGGTGATGCGGGTTGTACAGATGCACGACAGGATCGTATCGAACGCCGGCCGCGATCGAAGCAGCCAGCTTGGAGGCCCGGTATCGATTCGGGACCCCCGAGCCCCGCAGCGCGTACGGCACGTCGCCCAGCGACGTTTGAAACGTTAAAGTCGACTCAATCGTGGCGCTGTGCTCGTGGGGCAAAAACAGAACGTAAAACGTGTGCACGTCGCCGGGCTGCAGCGTGACGGCGTGGAATACGTCGGCAAGGAGGAACTGCTTGTCGTGGATGGCGATGCCGTGGATGTCGAGGGGCTGGACGTCGTGGGATGGACTGGCGTCGTGCCCATGCTCTGCATCCAGTGCGTCCGCACGGTACGACACTTGCACACTCAAGAGCGTTGGGGTGCACGTTTCCTGGACGCCAAAGTCGAGGCCGCTCGGGGTGACACGGACAACTTGGGAGTCGCCAAAACCATATTCGCGAAATGGCCGCGCCCGCCACGACGTTGCGCTTGCCCCGCGAGATCTGCTCGACGCCACCGGAACAATCACGTCGCGACGACCAAACCCTGTTGCGAAGCGCACCCGGCGGCCCGTTGCAGCGTCCGTCCACGGCGGCGACATGCGCGACTTGTACTGGACACCGCCCAGCCACATTTCGACATGATGCGATTGCGGCAATGGTTTTGGAATGGCTTGCATGGCTTCGAACGCACGTAGCGTTGCGCGCAGGTGTTGCACGGTGGTAGCACCAGTCGCGATCCCGTCCACGTGGGGCACCGACTGGCCCGGTGGTGTGGCCTCCGCCGCCACAGCAATGACACAACACAGGCACAGCACCACGATACAACACGCCGCAGTCGGCCGCCGTCCTGTTGACCAGGACCGCATCGCCACGTTGGTTGAACAATGCACCTCCTCACCTAGGAAGCAGCACATGCAGATCTTTCGATATATTTTTTAGCCAACCACAGGCAACCAAGTTCTGTCCAAATTACAGGCTGTCCACCGAGCTGTAGCAACTCGCCATGGCATGGCCATGGACCTGCCGCATGCATTGCCAGGACATCCCTGTGCCCAGCCTGCATTCGATAACGCTGTGGCGCACGACGCCCCGGTAACAGGTTTCACATCGTTCCCACGTCGCCAACTCGAGAAAAGATCCCGGAAGTTGTGGCGCCAACTCTTTGGGTATATCGCGGCTGCAAGGAGGGCATGCAGAGGACGTCGAGCGTCGACTCGGAAGAGAGCCGACCCCTTCTACGCAGCAATCGCATGCGGTGGCGAAGTCTAGGTGGCATGCCATCATACTTTAATCAAGTGTCACAGCTTTTGGCCACGGCCCAAATTGGAGGTTGCCCGTTTCCGGATAAACGGAATGCGACAGTAAAAATTCATTGATAGCGCATGGACGCCAGTGTGCTCCCTGTCGCGGACGTGCCAGCCGCCGTCCTGAGAGAGTACCAAGCGCGTGCTGCGGCGCAATGCCCGCCCACTGACGCTCAAGAGTACATGTGGCGTGTTCGTATGGAAGCCGCCTCGATTCCAGACGTCACAACAGCATCGGTCACGATTGCCAGTGTCCAGCCCAACACGCTTCAGGCACTGTTCTTGCCGTCGCTGCCACCGTACCCCGCGCATCTCGCGCTATCCCGTGCCGCCCGCATGCAAGTCCTCGCCGAATTTGCAGACTTGAGGCAGTACCTCGCCCATGTCGAAGCGACGCTCGTGGCTCGGCCCATTCGCCTGGACAACGTCCCGTTTCCAAAGATGAGCGAGGAGGCGCAGTGGCGAGCCTTCTTCCTCCGACATCCTCCAACGGTCAAGGTGCTGCTGCAAATGGACCAAGTGCTCACCCAACGCCTCCTCCAGACCGTGGCACATTGGCTGGACGACAGCACCGCACCAAGTCTGTCGAGGCTACGAGCTGTGTGGGCATATGGCCTCTTGGCGCGCTTGGAGAAACCTTTGGTCGCGGACATGGATGCTTGCGTGCGGCAGATCTTTCGGTGGTGCTGGGACATGAGGCACAAACACCACAGCGCGACGGCGGTCGACAACACGCACGAGCGGGACAGCTTGAATGTCCTCATTTGCATTTGCGATTTCTTTGGACAGGGCGACGAGATGCAAGGAAGCACCGACACGTCGTCGGTCGATCCAGCCGGTCCGACCACCTACGCCGCCCCTCGGCTTAGCGACGCCATCCTGGACGGCCACCACCCCCCGGTGGCTTTCCATTGACCAGTGTCAGTAGTAACAGCAAACTGTACAGCGCACGAGTGTGCCGATCGTTCTCCATTCCCCCTTGGGACGCTGGCTCTTGGCGGATTGACTGCCCGCGTTCGTGAATGCCAGGCGGTGCCGTGCTGATATTCGTGATGGTGTCGGTGGGGGTAGTGGGTGGGTGTGCCCTCCGCGTAAGGATGGTACAATCCTATCACAGGGAGCCCCATGATCTCATGGACGAATGGCGAAGTCACGTTGCGCGCTTAAGTGCATGGACATCGCACTGCCTTCACCGCGGCAGCGCCAAGCGAACCAAGGCGGTGTCCGAGCGCCCGATCGAGGAGGAGGCGGTACGTGTTCGATTGTCGCAGTGCAGACGGGTGTCGCTGTTTCGAAGCGCACCAAGTGTTGGGGTTGGCACTTGGCGCGTCGACATGGACAGCCACCCGACCTTTCACGAGCCGTCTGCGCTCAATTGCCGCTGCGATGCCGTGCTCGGTGCACCAACGGTGTGGGTGTCGCGGCGCACTGTGGGACGGTAGACTCGCCGTCCTGCGAGAAATGTGCTAGTGACCATTCCCGACGACCATGTGGCCGGCCAGAATGGCGGACGCCGCGGCCGACGTGCGTGACTCGATTGAATCATCGGCTAGCCTCCAGCCATCAATGCGCTCCACCTCTGGCTATACTCCATCTGGAGCGCGGAAATCCTGCTGCCGCACAGCCAGCCGCCGCCCACGGGCGTTTAGCTTGTAACGTTTGAATCGCCACCCGGGAAAGCGACCTTGCCGTGGTGTAGCGGCGGCTCTAGCCTTTGCAGGACAGTGCATCTGCGCGAAACAAGAGCAGCCTCGTAGTCGTCGGGTCGATGTTTGGCTCGAGCGGGGGGTGCTCCTGAACGTACCGCCCTCTCGCGGCACGCTCCGCCAAGACATTGCTGGCTCCGATTAGTTCGTGCACGAGAATGCGCATACAAGTCGGCCCGTCGAAAGCGCCCGTCCATAGCCACCGTGACGAAGCGGAGCCTCGCGCGTGACGAGGTCAGCTGTAGCTGGGCGCGTATTTCACGGGATGTGGGCCTCGTGCAGTGAGTGGACGACGGGGGGCGCCTTCCCCCTACCCTGCAAATCGACGTCCTGCTCGAGGATGTTGGCAGTAGATAAGCACAACGTTCCGCTCATCAGCAGAGGAATGCTTGAGCGAGAGCGTCGCGTAAAGGCTGGCGACGACCCACGGGTCGCGGCCCGCGCGAACATCGTCACCCTCAGTACGACCGCCACACGAACATTTCTCGGGGTGCCCGACAGGGGTCTTGACATGTCAGCATCATCGCGCTTCGGCGCCCGTCGCAGTAATGTTGTAACATGACCGTTGGTACGTCGTCGGGAGGGGTTGCGCGGTCCTGCCAACGCGTCGCCGTGCACCGTTGCTACTTGTACGTCGCCCGAGGCCGTGCAAGCGACTGGGCGATGACGAGGGTGAACTGCGTTGGAACAAAGGCCAAGACGATGCCCACCCCCCCCTGGTTGTCCCAACCGAATTCTCCATGGGACGAATGTCACAAAGGGGCGGTGTGTTTTCGGCCGCCACCGTTTGCGACGACCATGCACAAACCATACGGCTGCCGTATGTGGCGAAATATACACCACCAGGCTACAGTACACTGGACGGTTTGCTCCACGGGCTCAAGGTGCGACAACAACAAGGTCGGGGATCGTTGCCTCCACCCCCGATTCCGTCGCGGCCGCTCGAGCGAGGCCGCAGGAGACACTCCCCCGACGAGTGTCCATGGGGGCAGTCTGTCCCAGTGTTTGCGTAGCTACGACGAAGTAGGGCAGGGGCACGTGGCGGGCGATCGACACAACTGGCTGCGACTTCACTCCCCCGACGAGTTGCATGTACCACGTAAGTTGCGCTGAAGGCCCGCCGATTGTTCGATGGGGACCAAGGCTTCTTGGGTGGATGCGGGCAGGGGGGAAGCGATCGTTCACCGGTAGGGGCGGCGACCAAACCATCAAGGGGGCGATCCTCCGATTTGCCTTTCCGTTCGTGCGGTAGGCAACTCGATCGTAGGCGTTGTTGGAAAGCCCTCTCAACACACGACAACCGACGCTTCAGGCATCTCTCAATCGTGCTGATGCCGGCAGCACGGTCCACGGCGGCACATTCCCTCGACGGCGGACGACGGTTCATGAACTCGTCGTCTTGATCGTTGTCGGGCAATCTCGTCGCCCGATGAGTCACCCGCGTCATGTGCCCTCTTTACTCAGATGTCCGATCCGCGCCTCAGACGAGAGAAAGCTTCTCGCCGCGGTAGGGGACGAGAGGAAAGGAAAAATCGCCATCGTCCGTCCACGACCAGTGGTAAGATGAACAGGCAGGCAGCCACCGACAACAATTCCAAGCGGCACGGCCCTGATCATGCCCAACGACGGCGTCGTCGAGTCCGTGTGCCGCCGCCGCGATCGACAGGTGCACTGTATGCTTCGGCGCTGCTCGTGTTTCTTTGAAAGAGTGATGGGTGGGGGGGCTGTGTCCTGCTCACGGACATGTACACCCGACGTCGAGGTCGTCGACAGGCCGCGGTGGGACGAATACAAGGACATATTTGGGCCTGCTTTCCTCTTGGGCGGCAAATCCAGATGCTCCTTTCCCCATGCAACCGTGGCCCAACTTGGCATTTTCCAACGCCGCGCTCGTGTTTCGGTCGATTCGGCAGCATCGGCATAGATCGGACACACGCGACCTTGACATTGGAACAAGACACAGAAACCTGCGCGCGATTCCGTGGTCAAGGTCTGGATTCAACTCCAGAAACGGGAACCGAACCAAGGTTGCAGGGGGGGGACATTCCACGCATGGGGTTTGGGGGAACCGAATCATACCCTTCCCCCCCCTATATCCATGCACACAACACGGAAGCTACAGCCACATGTAGGCCCGCCCCTGACGTAGGCTGCGCATCCTCGACACACAGCACTGTTGATTGCGATCGTCACCCCCCCTCCATTCGTGGCAGCCGTCGGCGTACATAGGTCTTGTCTGTGGCAGGGCCTTCCGCCAGCGTCCTTTCGGTCGCACAAGACCAGGATCCCCCACGAGCTCTCAACACTCTCCAGACGACGGTGGCTCTGTTTCGCGGAAACCGACGTCGTGGGATGGCTGGTCAGGCGCCATGTGTTCGACAGACTCCGCTTGGGGATTCAGTGAGCTGTGTTACATCACCTTCTACATGGATACCAAGGCTGTGTAGACTAGGCGTGATGCTTCGCCACTCCCCCACAGCGACGTTCCCCCGCCCCGAACGAACCGCCTCGGAACGGCGACGACACGTTAGTCAGGACAGCACGCTGTCCGCCATCCATCGTCTGTAGGCATTGAGTAGACTCCACATTTCGCTCGAATCCATCGCCAACGTCGAGCGGTTGCATCCACCCACCGCGGCAGAAAGGCCACCACGTTCCCAGCCTTCAACCCGAGCACCCGACTCGTCAAAGGGAAATGCCTCTCGTTACTGCCTCGCCATTTCCCATATTCAGTACACAATCGAATTGGACAGTGGCGCGTGTCGTGGGGGGTTGTGTGCGCCGCATCTCCATGGCGACACGTTGGCAGAGAACGTCCGTCCAGCACGTTTCCTACCGTTTATGCGTGCAAGGTTGCGCTTTCCGTTCCTCCTTCTTCTATGCGAGATCCAACTCGCCCAAGTCAGCCCCAACAGCTTGGTTTAGAGAGATTCTACCATCGAATTCCCTTTAGTAGTCACCTTGGGGAAGGTCCGTCTCGTACGGAATCGTACGCTGGTCGGCCTTTCTACGCTTCCCCTTCCGCCCAAGCCAACAACCGGGGACACCACGCGCGCGCGAACAATCGGAACGGTCGGCCAACGATCCATTGTATCCGCCCTGCCTCGTGGGCACAAGACATACTGGCGCCCCCCCCCACGGTACCATCCACCAAACTCAAGTTCTGCCGTCGGGGGCAATCCTATCTGGGGAATCGCTACCTCGTGTGGACGTTGGGGAGGAAGGCTCGGTCGTTCGCGGGCTGTGAGCGCTCCTCCGTGGGCCGAACGAGGCACCGTCAGGTACCGACGTGCTGTCGTCCGTCCCTGTATCGAGGAGGGAGGAGAGGGCAAAGTGCAAGTTGAACTTGCCGCGGACAAGTGTATGGCCACCTGGTTTTGTCGAAGGGCATGGGGGATCGCAGGAGTTGACATTTCGTGCCACTCTAGTGTGGGAGCTTCTAGAGTTCCGGCTGCTGCCCGTGGTGGGGCTGCTGCTGTGACCAAAGCACGGGGTGTTGGATGCGATCCACCACGTGGTGGTGGGGGGCTGTGGCTATAGCGCGCGCCCGCCTGTCACGGGGTCATTTTCCAATTTCGTTTGGACCCCATGAACCATCGATCGTATTCCGTCGACTACTCGCACTTGGACGGTGTGACTCGCCCGCACGACTACTCGCGGTCGTGGTCCGTGTGCGAAGACTTTAGCTACTGCCCGCCGCCGGCAACGACGCGGACCGACGACGATGACATGCCCGACCCGTCCGTCGTGTACCCCCAGGCGACGTCAATGGACGACAAGTGCGGGTACCGCACGGGCAAATGCTTCAACATGCGCGCCATGAAGCGGAATGGCAAGGACCACAAACTTTGCGACTTTCACCGCGAAAAGGCCAACCAGAACCAAAAGAAACTCGACCGGAAGAAGCGCATGAAGCGATTTGCGCCGTACCAGTCGACGCCGCGGTCGTCGTTTGTCGTCGACAAGGCGGACCCGTCCGCATCCCCCACACGCATTGACGAAGCGCCGGAAGTGCTCCATTTTGACGAAGTCGCGTTCTTCTGCGACGTCATGACCCCCGCCGAGAAACTTGCCCTCGAAGAAGCCCATGCGATCTTTGTGCACGACCTCCCCACATCCGACCACGCGCTCCTGCCGCCGATCCACGAGGCGGTCAAGGACGAAGCCCCCGAATACGATCACACGGCGGCCGAGTTGGACATGCTGTTCAAGTCGGACGTCATGTTGTTTGTCGATCAGTTGTAAGTTAGTGTCCTATTTAAGTCGTCCTCTCCCACCTGTTGTCTCGACCGACTGCGACGCATACTCGTCTGCCCATGGCACGTTGCCGCCGTGGACTCTGCCCATCGGAAGCCGTCACAGAAGTGCGACCAGCCACTTCGCCTACCTGCCTCCTCCCTACAGCTACCTCTGCTCAGCAGGCGCCGCCCATGCCCCAAACAAACGCTGCGCCGACTCTCGACGCCACATGGTCTCTCTCCCTTCTCGAAACGAAGGCACACACCTCACATGTAGTTCAAAGCGAGGGCATAGCCAGGCGCATCATTGACACCCCACGAGGCGAATGAAACCAGTGATGGGGGTGGCACTCCCGGTGGAGGGGGGGGGGCAGCCACCTATCTACCTACGTCTCGCTAAACTACACGCACACGAATGATCGGCGGGGGGAGTGGCGCCGCCCGGTGGTGCCTCGATGCTGACGAATCGTCGCTTGTCACTGCTCGAGCCCATCTCAGTTTCCGTCGTCTGCGCTCAGCTAGCCGATGGTTTTGTTCTGGAAGGGTGGGGCCATCACCGCATGAAAGTTGCCTCGGGTGCCGTACAGATGAAACGACGAACAGTGTTCCGGCCGTGCACAGTAGCAGGATGATTACCGTCGCGGTCGAAGCAATCGGACGCTTCCCATCCCACGGGGGCTGACTCGAAACCTCGGAACGACTTGGGAATAGCTACAAATGAGCCATGCACCGACCACAACACGTGTGTCCAAGGCGTCCATCGCGCGATGGTCGTGGCGTAGCCGTGGGTTGCCGTGGCGGGTTTCCTTGGGGCGGCACACGCGATCGCCGTCGGAAGAAAACACACCGCTGCACCGTGTGGAATGTCGGCGAAGCGTTCCTGCGTTGCACACGGCTTGGAGTTCTCCTCGTGACCTGGACGAAGCGCTGCAGGTACCATCTGCCTTGGCGGCGGTCACATGCCCGCGAGTCACTGTGCAGCAGGTTCACCCATGTGGCGCGAGCCACGCCGTCGTGGGGAACCCGAGAACTTTCCCCCAGGCTCACATGTACGCCTCGTCTCGGACGGCATGTACCCTGCCTCTCGCTGTCCCGAGAGAAGAGCATTCCATGGCGAGACGAGAAGTTTGGCGCCGTTGTCCCGCGCTTGCGCAGACCGCCGCCTCTTCTCGGCGACGAATCCGGATAACGATCCGGAATCGTGTGATGTTGAGGTGCACCACCCACACCACCTGCAGCAGGGGAATTCGACGATCCGATGGTCCATCGAGGAGAGTTGCCTGCTGCGTGGTGGGCACGATTGGATCTGTTTGATGCCCCATGTGAACGCGATGACGCCGACAGCTCCATGGCGCGGCAGGGCCGAGTCCCATGACTCCTCATGACCTGCCGCCCCATTGTCGACCTCCCATTGGTTCATTCCCCGCAACTGCTGAGTTACAGCTCCGACGTGCCGACTGAACGGCTGGTGGATCGTGCGAAGGTGGAGGCCGCCGCCGGTCCAGTCGTGCGTGATGGCCAAGCTTTTCTTTGCCGTGGCCGCCGTCACGTCGGCCGGACTCTACAGCGGCGCTGCCGTGTACATGAGTGTCGTGCAACATCCGGCCATCCTCCGGCTGGGCTCTCGTCGGCTGCAAGCGCCGTTCTTTTGCCAAATGTATGTAAGTGCGTCGGCGTTCTTGGCGCCCATCGGCCTCGTAGCCAGCACCGCGTCGTTCGCCGCGTGGACGGTGGACACTGCCATCTCAACGAGCAACCCGTCCGCGCTCTGGATCGTCGGTGGCTCTATCTTCCTCGCGTTGGTTCCGTACACGACACTGGCCATGCTTCGTCTGAACCTGCACCTCACCGACGAACGGTACTGGAAGACCCATCGCACAGCGTTCATGCAAGCGAAACTTCATCACTGGGGCGTCCTCCACGCGCTCCGATCGATCGCAAGCGTCGTGGCCACAGCTACATTGGTCTGTGCGTGTCTGCGACAGGGCTCGTGGGCGTCGCTGTATTAATCGATGGCATCGTGTTTTGATGTGTGTCCACATGCTGCCGCCGCCTCGGCGCGACAAGAAATGGACTCCACACGTGCTTGCACGGTCCCGTTGTGAGCGGACGAACAGGTAAGGGAGGAACTCCATGGCGCCTCGGCAGCTGCCGCCATGATATACATATCCTGGCAGAGCTCTACGTCGTCGTTGCTCAAATCCTAGACCGTCGCTCGCTCGCTCCGTCATAGCCACTTGCTTGGCGTTGCTGGGCATGTTTCGCACGTGCGGCTGGTTCGTTTGCAAAAGCATGCCGTCTGCCATCCATCGCGTTGAGCTAGCAAGCGCGATGGAGAAACACTCGTCCTCCATCTCAGAGCAGGGCCTACGATGGCAAGTGCGGCCAGGGCACCATGACGTTCAAATGCATACAAGGAGAATGGTCCTGCACCAACGGACATGCCGTTTCAAACAGTCGCGGCCACGAAATGGCGCGTGCATGCCGATCGCGCGGGGTGATGATGGCCCCGGATTGCTCCAAGACAATCCGTCTGGTGCTATTAGTTGAGGTGCACTTTGCCCACTTGGTCTTCGAGTTGCCTCTCGAGCGCCTCGTTTTTCTTGGTGAGGTACACAATGTCTGCGTGGGCCTTGGTCAGGAGCCGCATCGCTTCGACAAACTTTTCGTCCATGTGCTTCTTCTCGTGGAGCCACTGCGCCTGAAGACCGTGGAGCATCTCCTGGAGCTGCTTCTTTGTCCGCGTCTGCTCTTCCGCAAACTTGTGCCGCATCTTGTGCATTTCTTCGCTCATCGCGAGCGATTTCTCTCGTTGCAAAATGACTTCTTCCGCCAGTCGCTTCTCTTTGTCCACGCTTTCGGACAGGATCTGCTCCAACTTGACGCGTTCGTCCTCGGCTTGGGTGTGGAGCCGCTGCCGCTCGTCCGCGAGTGCTTGTTCGAGAAACTTCTCCTTCTCCATGCGCATCTTGGCCCGTTCGTCGTCTTGGATGGCCTGTTCGACATCACCGCGCCATCCTCCAACGAACGGGGGTGGTGTACCTGCCGCAGTTTTTCGTTTTCTTGCAACACTGCGCTCTTGGCGGCAATGTCGGCTTCTTCCTCGAGCTACCCGAGGACATGCACCGTGACCATTTCCGATCGTGATCGATCACAGCGTCCCCCGACACGCCAAGGACGCCTCAGTCGACAAAGCAACGTACTATTTTGACTTCGACGTCTTTCTGGCGGTCCTTCAGCACGGCAAGGCCATCCCGCTCCTAGTCCCGTACACCAAGCATATGTGACATCGCCGCCGCCGTTGATGCCCACGGACCGATATCAAGAGCTGCTTTGTGGCTTCAATGCTGCGCAGGACGGGCTGGATCACGCCGTCGTCCGCGTTCGCTTGGAGCGCATCTTGGTACGTTTGAATGTCCCGCTGGAGCTGGAGCTTGATTTGCCCATATTTGTCTTTTCGTTCGCGGAAGGCTTTTGCCAGCTTGATTTTGTCCTGCACCACGATGCTGACGCAAGGCCTATTCACGAGATCGACGTCGTACCTGATGCAGCGCCTTAACGCGCTTGATGCCGTCAATCTTTTCTTCCCGCACGGTCTAGCTCGTCCGCGGCGGGGGCGAAACCTTAGCCCACACCACGACGCCACTCCATGGCTCGAAAACGCCCGGGGGCGACGACAACAATGTCGTGCTCTCACCTGCATGAAGGCCAAGATGTTTTTTTCGTTGGCCAGACTCTTCTGGCGCTCTTCTTCGTAGAGTCGAGCGAGACGCTCCTTCTCGTCCCATGACTCCACGGCGAGAGTGAGGCCCATCGAGCCATTCGTGGTGACGTGGTGTACCTGCTGCTTGGCCCGTTCCAGGTTGGCAATCATTTCGTCCATGTCATGGAGAGCGTCGGAGCTCGGTTGTGCATGGGTGTGAGAAATTGCTCCACTGCCTTGGACCATTTGCCGCAACCGTTCGATTTCTTCGCGCAGCTCCCGGATCATTTTCTCGTTCACGTCCTACTAAACCAGAGAAAGCACAGCCCGACGTGCCACCTTGCAAGCACGATTGTACCTCGTTCTTTCGTGTTGCATTCTTGATCGACTTGGCGCGGTTTGCATACTGCAGCGTCCCCAAGGACTCGTCAAAGTTGTAGTCGGCGGGACTGACGGCCGCGATCATGACAGTCAGCGAGTTCCCGCCGAGCGATTCCTACCGTCCGAGCGTCGTCATCGCGCACATGGTCGTTCTACATTGACGACACTGGACAACCAAGAACACAAGCTGCCAGGCGAGACGCCGCGACCTCGAGCCATGTCCCCACAAACGGATGGTGTCGCAATAGCGGCGCCATGCACGATCACAGGAACATGGGCCGCGGCGCGAGCGCAGTGCCACCCGTCGCGTTGAACGACCGACTCCTTGTTGATGGTGCATTCCACACATCCCACACAACGTAATGACGTTATCCAACCCGGCCATGATATGTCACGATGACCGAACACGACGACACACGCATCCGCCGACGTACTTGCAGCAAGCGTGTGAGTTTCGAATCTCGATACGGGACGTGGCCCTTCTTGGACCGGTCGGCGAGCATGTTGATGACATTGCCGAGGGCACTCAAGCTTTTGTTGATGGCCGCGCCTTCTTTGAGTCGGTCACCGGTCGCGCCCGTCTTGGCAGCGCGTTCCGATCCCGCCAAGTCCACCTACGCAGCTCCTCTCAGCACACGAGCCACAGCGTGCTCATCCGTGCCAGGTTGATCTTGGCATTCATCATGGTTTCGCGGGTCATGTCATGCAGAGTTTCGATCTTCTTGGATGCGATTTTTATCGTAAAGCAGCTGTGGGATCGAGAGCTTCGCTCGTTCATCTGGGTCGCGGCCACCTGGCGGACTTTGTTGCCTTCCTCGAGCAGCCGTGTGACGTCGGCTGGGTCCCGCACCACCAGCTAGGAAAAGATCACGTTCTTAGAACAGTCTGCGAATGAATCGGGAAACAAACTTCGGCCAAGTGCTCGACGTAGATGCCCATGTCGGGATGCTCGCGAATTTTTAGGACTTTGTCGGACGGGTTGAGCAGGTCCTTGATGACTTCGTTGTATATCTCGAGGAATGACACCGTGATGAGGTACTTGGTCGTGTCATTCGACTGGGTTTCAACGCGCCTACGAGTGGGGATGTCGGCAGGACGTTGAAAAGTGAGAAATACGCTTACCGAAACAAGTCTTCGTTCATCTTGGGAATGATCCCGTGGTCGTCGCCAGACCCCATCATCGTGTGCGTCTTCCCTGACCCCGTCTGCCCGTACGCGAAAATCGTGCCGTTGTAGCCTTGGAATGCTTGGTCTACAAGAGGCTGCGCCACGGCCGCATACACGTGGTCCTGCACCGAGTCCGTGTCGAAAGCGAAGTCGAACGTAAACGTCTTGTCGTCCGATGGGTCGGTCGGGTTCTCGATCGCGATGCATTGATCAGTCACCTTGATGATGGGCCGCGACCCCATCTGCGCTTCCTTGGAGCTCATCGGCCGACACCGCACCGCGACCTTAACATTCACATCGTTGGACGTCATGGCCTCGGCGCTGGGTCACCCGCGCTGTCGAAACGGCGGAAGAAAATCGCATCAATCGCCGAGAATCAGTGCGCTTTACGATATTTCACGCATTGAAGGCATGAAAACAGTGCGTCTATTTGCTTTCGGTGCGCTTTGACAAATTCCGGTGCATTTTTTGGTGTTTGGTTTTTGGCCCAAACCACGGAAATGCTTGGGATGAAATTCTCGAATTTTCACGATTTTTCCCAACTTTGACATAAAAATTACATTTTTCTTCGGGGACGTAACTGTCCGTATAGGATGGACGTCTACAATTCGGTCCAAACTAAATGGATGTGATGGGGCAGTATTTTCATTCCAATGCAATATTTATCGAGAATTCAATCAAAAAACATGTTTTTGGAGGTCATATAAAATTATCTACTAGTATTATTTAGTATGCTGACAAATGTAGTCCTTTGACTTTGGAGGTGCTATTTGGACTGTCAACACGGATCAAAATAGAAAAGATTCATTTCGAATTTTTAGATGGCAATCTACGTTTCTTCTCGAATGGTCAATATTTTTGTCTGACGAACACGAACATGAAGTATTTGATGAAGTATTTGATTGAGATTTCGACCTTTCGGGCATAATTGCAAGCGTCGTGGCGACGTTTGACCCAGTGGACTGGTTTCAACACGTATTCTGCCATCAATGTAACAATTGAGAACGACATGTCATAATTTAATGGCTTCGCTGGATTTCGGTCAACAGACAGTATTTCTTAAAAATAGTTCAGATATTTGATGCGTTCGATCAGCAAGCACATATCAGTGGACATGACAATGGACACGGGCGGGGTCGACGTTCATATTTAGCGATGGCAAAGCATGTGGGACAAGAGAAAGCAGTCGGGGTAAGCGAAAGCATGGGTACAGACTCTATGGTTTCTTATCGCTGCTCCAGAGCATGCCGCGGAAGGGTAAGAGCGGGAGAATGGTCTTGTGAAATTGCATGCGGAGGCGGTCAACGGCGTTTTCGAAGTTATCCAGTGCCGGGCGGACGTCCATATACACGGAAAGTGGCTTCCCTGGCACAGGATGACCGGTGTAAAAGTCTATCACGTAGCGCACTTCGGTGCCATTGCGGTCAACGATCCAGTCGTGTCGGTCAAACGGGAGGTTCGCCACACCAATCGTGTTCATGAAGCGCGCTTTGGGTGAGAAGTCCTTTGGGCGACCCATGAATCGAACAAGCTTGGGTTCGGGACACGTCTCGCTGTTGTATGCTTCGGGATGCAGCGTGCGCTCGAACTCGACGACATCGGCCCATCCCTTCTCGTTAATCGTATTGTGGATGCTCACAATCACCTTCATGTCGCGCTCTTCGGGGTCCCATCCCTTGCGCTTCATAGCGTTGAAATATTGCTGCTCGGACGGATACTGCCATGTTTGTTGCCCTTCCGTCTGGTGTTGCGGGACGAACGACCCCATCGGGATCGACGACGCCACGCGATGGGTACTCAGCGGCACCTTCTGCTTGGCATCGACGGTGTGGTCTGCAGGTTCCATGAAGTTGAGAGAGTTGAGTCCCGACTTGGCGGCATCCGGATTCAAGTGATCGACAGGGCATCCACCGCTCTTCGCGGCACTTGCGTGATCCACTGGACAAGCCGACATGTTCACCAAGTTGCAAACCCGAATGCTGTTGAAAACACAGTTCTTGTGTGATGTTTAACTTTAATACGTTAAACTATGAATTTGAATATACTGTATACTCAAATATTTAGGCAAAATTAGGATATACAGAATAATGCAAATCGTTAACTTGCTCTGGCAATACTTCGAAGTACAAGTCATTGATAAAAAACACGAGAAACCTCCTTCAAGATCCATGTAACGCCCAACTGACGTACCCCGGCAACGTCGGATTCCCATCTTATTGTCTGCGGACTGTGCCAATGAACAGCGAGCGCTTGAAGGCTGTCCGGCGTCCTTGGCTCATGTATAGTATACTGTACAGGCGAGAAAGCCACAACGACATCCACGGGCTTGAGTATACCGTACGTGCTTGTTGAACGGCGGCCGGGTTGAACCAAGCGCCGTCGGACAGTTTATGTGAATAATTTATCCAAAAAGGAGATATTTGCGCGAAAAATACGCGCACATGGCTGAAACATTGCTCAATTTTGTTTTCAACGGCAACAGAAGAAGGATGAAGCTATTTTGAGCACTGCAGATTCCGAAGTTTGCCCATCGCCCGCCTCCACGTGCACTTTCCATCGCGCCAGACATGCCGCAAGTCGACGACGCTACTGCGGCCATTGCCGGTACGTGCCGATGACCACCGCATCATGCATGATGCTCATGTATCACGCAGAAAACTCTGTGAAACCTGCTTCTGTGTCGGTGGACAATGAGACCGAGCCGGAACCGACCCCAAAGTCTACGACTTCATCGGACGACGTTGATGTCCAGGCTCTGCAAGCAAAAGTGAGCGCCCTCTCCGATGAAGTACGTCTGCTCGTCTACTTCTCTTCATGTAATTAAATCCGTCTTGCAGATTAACGGGCTCTACGATCAATTGGAGTCGGCAGACGCCGAGCGGCAGCCATTGCGCCGATCATTGAGCTTGAAGGAACTGGCAGTAACGGAATTAACCGCGCGTGTGGCCGACTTGGAACGCCGACTTGCGAACGACAAGTCGGAATATGAAAAGGCCGTGTCGACGCGTGATCAGTCCATTGATGTATTGCAGAAGAAACTCCACGAACTCAAGCGCGAAATGAACGTGCTTACGGACGACTACGAGTCCGTGTCAGAGGAAAAGCACGACTTGGAAGAGCAGCTGGACAAGGAGCACACCCAGCTCATCAATCTTCAGGACGAGCTCGCCGAAATGGACACCCTCGTCGCCGAGCTGCGCGACGAAATCGAGCGGCTGAAACAGCGCAACGAGCAGGATGCCATTGCGATTGAAGAGGTATGTGTTTCAGAAAGTATCAATTCGCATGAAAGTTTCGATTTTTCTCGATTGAACATGGTGTTTGTGTTGTGACTTTTCTGTGCGATTTGGCTCAAATTCCATCAACAATTCGGTTTAAAGTTGAACGAAATGCGTGGCATTTCGTTGTATTTTGTCAATATCCGAGGGAAATATGTTGAGAATCGCTTGGTTTTGCCCATATTTCTTCAAAGTATTTTGCAATTTCAGAATTTTGTTTGAGTCCAAGGTGACTGACTAGTTTTCCGACGTCATGATGCCATGTCGTACGTAGGCACAGGCCGCGACTGCTTCCGCGGTGCAGTCACGTGATGCCTTAGCAGCTGACACGGCGGCAAAATTGTCGGCGTTGGCCAAAGCGAACGCTGCCCTGGAAGCCACTCTGGCTGCAGCCACCAGCGACCACGAAAAGCGAGCCACCGCATATCAACAGCAAGTTGAGACGCTGACAGCCCAGTACGAGGCGAGGGTGGCGACGGCGAAGTCTTCGGAGCAGCGTCAAAAGAACTTGGAAGCCGAGTGCGCCTCGTTGAAAGCGTCCCTGGACGAGTTCCACACGGCCGCTGCGTCGGTTGCGATGTCGGCCGCCCAAGAGGATCTGGAGATGAAGGTCGCACAGTTGGAGGCCGCGAAAGCCACGCAAGAACACGAATGGGCCAAGGCCGAGCGCAGTTGGAAGAAACAAGTCCAAGAGCTCACGGAACGATGCGATGCGGCAACGTCGGCTGCCGTCGAGTGGCAGCGCGGTCGCGACCACGCGGTCACGATGAACGAGCACTTGTCGGCCGAAGTCGAGTCGCTCAACAAAGGAAGGGTATGGAATCCTGTGATCCACGCCGTGTGCTTGTTTGCAGGCATGGCGTTCGGAATCAAGGCATTTCACGGCCCGCTCGCTTGAGGTGGCTTCCTCGGTCCACCCTGGTTGTCTCAACTTAATTACTTCTTTCCAAGCGTCGTCGTACTCCACTTTTGTTTATCGACACGATGATGCGGAAGCATGGCATTCCGTTTCAGATGAACGATGCGAGAGCGAAGTGTCGGCGGCGGCAGCGGCCAGTCAAGTGATTCTCGTGGCTGTGCACTCGAGCATCGCGACAAATGGTCTGAACCCTTCCATTGGTGTCGAGAAGTTGGTTCAGTCGACCGCCTGCAAGCATGCCTCAGTCGGATCGACTACTCATTTTCGTCCGATGCAGATCCCTCTCAACGGACGAGGATGACCCCCTTGACACCTCTCTTCAAGCATGGGGAGGGGTATACAGTAGCTAGCCTGCCACCATGTCAGCATGTCACGGCGGAAGCGCGTCGACATGGTGCCCACTTTAGACTGCAAAGGAATACCTTTGGCGAACGGCGCGCAAAGCTGCAACACCAACATGCAATTGAAATGTGATAGAAGCAACCGCTTCCATCGTTGGCAACCAATCCTGCCAAACACGGTCGACAGAGGTGGGCAGGACGAGGGTGGGCAGTTGGTTGT